GCATGAATTCCTCAACGAGACTGTTGGTCTCGAGCATTGCCTTCGTCTTAACGTCCGTGAGAGGATCGCCCACCTCGTCGTTGTCGGTTTCGATGCGGACTTCTGGCGAGGCGAGGTTCAGAGCACCCGCGTCCATGCGCTTCTGTCGGAGGATCTTGGAGAAGCGGAGCAGAGTGCGCATGCTTTCGGTAAGTTCGTCTTTCTGCGTAGGGTCGTCAATGCGCTTCTGGGCCTTTTCGTAACTGAAGGCTTCACGAGAGCGAATGACCGACTTGGTGAAGTCTGCAGATACCACTTCTGCGTTGGGCGTCATCTCCCACAAGACGGAGAAAGCGTACCGCTCGACGTAGGGCTTGAGGGAACAAAGGTCTGTACCGAGAAGATGGGGCAGCATATCGATACGCTTGTCGACTAGGTAGACTGTTGTTCCACGGAGACTGGCCTCCAGGTCCATTGCATTGTTCGGCTTGACGAAGTGAGACACATCTGCAATGTGGACACCGACCTCGAAGTTGCCGTTCGGTAGTGGCCGTGCATGAAGCGCGTCATCAATATCTTGACAGCCTGGGGGGTCGATACTGCAGATGAGGAGATCTCTCAGATCCCTCCGTCCCTTCCAGCCAATATTATCCTTGCTAGCCGGTACCCTCCAGTCATGACCCTCGGCGGGAAGACAGTCGAGAACAGCCTTCGGGAATGGCTTGTACTGAACGTCATACTCAAGGAGCAGAGCCTCTGTCTCCGCACCCTTAGTCTCCAGTTCTCCTAGTGAGCGAATGAAATGGCCGGTGGGGTATCGGGAATCGCGATCCCAGGCGTCGATGGTGACAAGAATACGTTGACCCATAAGATCACCAGCTTGTCTAGTACGGACTCGGATCTTTGGTACACGCTTGTCCATAGGTAGGACGAAGACGGTCTGCTGACGGCGACCGCTGCTAGCCTGAGCACCTGCTGAACCGGCATCGACATGTCCGACATATTGACGCCAGTTGCGTTTCATGACTCCAACCACCTTGGCTGTCGGTTGCGGCTTTCCCTCCGAGCTTTTCCCATGAGCTTTCCTGACCTCTTCTTGCAAGGCCTTCCGTTCCCTCTCCGACACCACTGCCTCGGTATCATCGGTATCAGGGTTGTCGTTCCTTGTGACCGCCTCTTCATCGACGATCTTGGTAGATGGCGACTTCCATTGGTCCTTGGGAAGTACTTCAATAACAACAACATCCCCAGAGATGGCTCTGTTACTGTTATCACGACCCAAAATGAGCAAAGGCTTGTCGAACGCCGGAACATTGACAGAGCCCTCCAGATAGTTGTAAGGCGAAACATTGAAGACTCCCTGGTGCAAAGTTCCAGCTCTAATGCCTGTCATGAGCTTAGACATCGAGTAGTATTCGGGGTAGAAAAGTTCGCCGCGTGCGCCCTTCGCTTCCCTTGCCTCACGAGACTCGTTGATCATATCAAGTAGCCTATCCGAGTCCTCCAGGCCAGACACATAGTCTGACAGTGACAATGCGGTAACATCTTCCTCCTTTGCTTTACGCAAGTTTTCCTTGTCGTCCGTGATGACAACGATAGCCGGGATGTCGTTCTTCTTCCCCTTCTTCACCGTGGCCTTGAGATGTTCCGCATACCACTTGGCCACTGTTCGCACAGCTCGGTCATTTCTGTCATTTATCGACTCATCGGGCCCTCTGCGGACGTGGGTCTCCAGTCGGAACTCGTTGAAGAAGAGGTAGAACCGCTTTTCGTCGGTCTTGATCAACGAGAGCAGGCGGTTGTAGAGGGGTAGGGACTGGTTCTTCAATTCTTCGAGGACGGTTTGAAGGATAATAACATCGTAGAACGCTCCGGTATGTTCGAAAAGATCCATGCCATTCAGCAAGGCATTCGTATCGGGGACAAGGTAGTGGCCGCGGGGGAAAGCGCTGGTGCCCGCGGGCTGCTCCGAGAGCACGAAAGGCGTGACTGTGTCGCATTAGCCATCAAATTAAGCAAAAGTTCAATCTGCTTGTCTTACTATTTCCATTAGCATCCGCCGGCGCAGTAGAGGCGCATGTCGAGCAAAGCTTTGACGAGCAAGGAATGTCTTGTCTGAGGTAAAGTTCGCGAACGATCTTTTGAACTTTTCCGCTTTTCGTGGATCTCACGAAGACTTTGCTGGTGACATTTGCTGCCTGCGGATTCGACGAGAAGTCACGCCGTAAACTTTTCATATTGACTGTATAGTGACCACGCTCCTGGCAGGTCGTTGTATTCTGCGACCCAAATCGTTTTTTCAGGCCGTTGATGCACTCCGTGACGTTTGCTCAGATCTGGATCCGCTTGCTGAAGCGGGATCCAGACGTTGGACCGGATCGGGAAAGTCTGCCGAGTGCCGACGGGCATCGCCATGGGCTCTCTCTTGATAAGCATGCTATGTTCCGCCATCAACCTCTGGGTCCTCCGTAGACTTTCTACTCTTAATTTACAGAATCCAAGCGGCTAGTACTTTATAAGTATGGTTCTCGCAGTAAGCGCTTAATGCCTCACTAAATGGCTTTTCATTGTGTTTGCGGAGTTCTCACTGATACTATGATATATTTCCCTCATCACAGGCCGTGGGGCAACTATGTTCGACTGGAAGTCTAGCGGCCAACTTGACGCAATGCAAGACGCTGGTACGCAAGGCAGCCGCAGCTGGAGCTAAGGTAAGTTCCTATAGTATTTGTTCGCCCACAGGTCATTCACGCTTGATTATCATCAACGGTATTAGCATCGATTTAACAAATTACCAGGCATTGTTTCTTCCCGAGGCTGCGGACTATATCGCATCATCGCCCGCAGAGACTATCTCACTGGCACGCTCTGTACAAGACAGCGAGTTTGTACTGGGTCTCCAAAAAGAGGCACAATTGGCCAATCTGCACATCAATGTAGGGATACACGAACCGGCGTCGAATGGTAGGATTAAGAACACCCTCGTTTGGATCAATGAAAAGGGCGACATCACACAACGCTACCAGAAGGTCCATCTATTCGATGTGGACATCAAGGGTGGACCAGTATTGAAGGAAAGCGCGTGAGTTTTACTTAAGTGGATGTGGTTCGATCGAACTTGGCTAATGTCAAATGAAGGAGCGTTGAGAAGGGGATGGAGATACTACCGCCTTTCGAGACGCCCGTTGGGCGAGTAGGCTTGTCTATTTGTTTTGATGTAAGCCGGAAGCAGCCAACTTATATTGCAAGGCGTCTTGCTCACGTTTAACCTTGCACAGCTGCGCTTTCCTGAGATTAGTTTGGCTCTCAAAAGACAGAACGCCCAAATCATCACATATCCATCAGCTTTCACGGTTCCTACCGGGACAGCGCATTGGGAGACCCTTTTACGCGCCAGAGCTATAGAAACACAGTCCTACGTGATTGCTGCAGCTCAGGCTGGGCCTCACAATGAAAAGAGGAGAAGCTACGGACATTCCATGATCGTCAACCCATGGGGCGAAGTTGTTGCCAAGCTTGACGATGAATACCAGGAGCCGCAGATCGCGGTTGCGGACATTGATCTAGATCTTCTTGCTAAAGTCAGGAGAGAGATGCCGCTACTCAGAAGAACGGATATATACCCAGAAGTATAGATGATCATGGCATTTGACTCAGTACATACGATATCTGTAACTATTACACCATACATACTATCATTACCGTTTCCTTGTTGTATAACACCAAATGATAGGTTGCTATCCAGTGTGAACGTAGCCGAAAACCGAGATACACATCATACAACCCATGTATGAGGTACAGACATCTATTTCTCCCGTTTTTGAAACATTGCAAGCATGTCAACGAAAAGATTCAGGATATAGAATGACAGATACACGCAGGAAATTGGAGGCGAACAGTAAAATGAAATAGAAAAGCCCTGTCTAGGGTCGGACGTAATGTGCCTATTGACACCACTCGAACGAAGATTGTTTTCCACGCCCGACCGCTCTATGTACAAAGTACAAGATATTTCCGGACCAAAGCACCTTACTTGCGCTGGACCTTGTCAGGGTCCTCCAGAATGCCTTCGGCCTCCAGCCGCCGGCGAGCCTCTTCCAGAGCCCATGTTTGTATCCTGTGGTCATGTCAGCATCTAATCCTCGACTCTGCTAATACAGTGAAAGGCATTGTCGTGACGCGCAGAATGATCTTAAGACAATCCACTTCAGCTGTCACACGAGGGAGAGGGATTGAACATACGAAGTGTCTGGCTTGAAGACGTATGCGACACCGGCAACGAGAAGACTGCCGATGAATCCATAGTACCACATGTTCTCCCAGCCCTCCTTCACATACTTCTGGCCGGGCTTGAGGCCAAACAGGTAGCCGGTAGGAGGGTCATAGTGGTCACCGCGGAGGTTGCTGCGGGTCGAGAAGCCCTGGATGTTCTGGGCCCGGCGGGGGACACAGCGAGCGCGGAGGCAATGCGACAACGGACGAGCGGACATTGTGAATGTGCGGAGGGTCTGTTGTAAATCAAAAACCCCTAGTTTTCAACGTGGATGATAAGGGACAGGCGGTGGCGGGTGAGGATCCCTGTCGGGTATGGCGAGGCAACGACCGCTGGATTGGTATGCCGAAATTAGGTATCCGTTCGACCAGCGACGACAATAGTCGACCCAATTGAGTGATTTCAAATATCACTGCTTTCGTTGGAGCGGCAGGAGCGGCAGGTGGAGGGGTGATGTGACGGTCAAGCGGTTGATGTTCAGAAGCCGCAAAAGGCCGATGACTGCTGGGATTCTGCCGCTAGGCCCGAACAGGCAAATTTCCCTGCCGCCTTTCGGCCTGATGTCACAGGCATTAATTAGTACATGCCTGAGGCAGGAGCACTCGACGCGCGACGCGTTCGAGACCAATTAGATTGGCTTATCGCATATCGCGCATAGGCATTGCTACTATTGCGTGCATCGAACCAACTCTGATCTGCATTAGCACTCTGTCTTGAACCTGTCACTTATGACTCGCCTGGCATGGAATTCTGATGTCAGTCGATAAAACAAAGGTAACTACCTATTGTTCGCGGTATCATTCGAATGATTGAGGATCCACTTGACATACTCTGTCTAACCGCCTAGGCCTTTCTTCTCGAGATGCCCCATTGCCCCCCAGCTCCCGAAGAACGCCAACTATAAACACGATGAACACAGGCAACGGCTCGCACAGAGTATCTTCGCAATCACGGTCGAAATTGAATGCTTTTCGGTACAATCAACAAAATAAACCAACTCCTGACAAGCCCCCTCAGAAGACTAGCTTAGCACCTGGCCATGCGAACAAGGAGAACCAGACGTCTTGGTTGAATGGAGTGACGGAGCCCGAGAAGTCGAATGAAAATAATCAAAATCAAACAGCAGAGGCAGCAGAACCAAAGGCACCGAGAGAATGCCCTCACACTCCAGGAAATAGGATCCCTCTAGCGGACCTTATCAACAATGCAGAGGATGCTTTCATCCATGCTCCTATGCCGGAATTTACACCAGAAGATTACGTTGTTTGGCAGCATGTGCCCGCAAGCTCAAATCCTGATAGAATGTCCCAGACGCCTGCACATGGTAAAAAGCGCCGCCACAGCTCGTCCCCGACTAGCTCTCCCCTGGCAGGGACTTCGAAGAGCAGGCGTAAAGGATCTCTTGACTTGCAGAATTCTCAGACACTCCAGAAGACTCCGCAGCATGACCTCGCCGCCGATCTGTGGAACAGCTATGTGAGCAAGACCCTTGCCAACGGCAATGGTGAGATACTTCGACCGCGCTTCACAAATCTCCTCTCTTCTTCCCCGCAAACGCCAGCCTCAATGCGCACCAGCCGAGACTCTTCAAGTCTTAGACGATCAAACAGCTGTATGGCAGAATGGCCCAGTTCAAAAGCCAAGCGAAGAAGGATCGACAAGGAAAACTTTGGTACGGGACGAAGCATATTCTCAAGGACAAGGAGCAATGTTGTCAACTCGGGAAACTATCATGGCCCCAAAATCAGTTCTCTCGTGGAGGAAATCGAGAAGACGTTGAAAAAGGCACCTGTGCCGCTACCGGACACAACTGACTCGTCTCCTATACCAGCACGCAACCAAGGCCGGCGTAGTAGGTCAAAATCCCCAACAGAGGATAGAAAGAGCCAAGCTCAAGCCTCGAAGAAAACTAGCCAAGTGCAAGAGCCCAGAATCATTCATGCTGCCCCTGAAGACAGGAAACCGTTGGAAGAGTCCTCATCGGATTACGGGGACGATGAATTTGACCAGGACTTCTTCGATCTCGCCGAAGCCTCAATAGATCCATTTGTGGATGTCGGTTCCTCTCACCTTAGAGACAAGGCTCTGAGTGACGGACTTGCGAATAATGGGGCTTCGACAGAGGCCTGCGCCTCAACTAAGGAATGGAGAGAGACTGGTGCAGTGACTATGAAAACTAATGTGGATAAACCGACTAATGATGTTGATACCCTTGATGCTGATGAATTTGACGATGATTTTGATGGTTTATCGGACGGTATGGAGGATCTTCTCGCTCAATGCGAAAAGTCGCAGAGCACGGATATGGCAAAGCCTGTTTCTACGGGGCCAGCAGCTTCTAGACAACCAATTCCCGGAGCAAAATCTGGCTATTATCCTAACGCGATGTCCGAAGTGTCCATTCAGAAAAAAGGAGAACAGGATGCATCTTTTGGTGATGAATTTGACGATGATGGCTTGGATATAGAGGCCATCGAACAATCCATGATGCATTCAGGAGCAGATGCATCAAACGATGTTTGTCATTCTTAGTGGGTTCATGTGTTACATACTTACTAAGCCCATATATAGAACGTTAGAAGCCGACAAGCCATCAAGCGTTACCTGATTGTTGATATTGCTGAGTCTGCGTATAAAACCCTCAAAGGGCGCGTTCAGCCAGAACAGGTCAGACACCATTGAAAATAACAGCTTTGCATTGCCACTGACAGCAAAAAATAGGTGCTTTCTGTACAAGATGAGAGGACGAAGGAAAAGAAAGTCGTCATCCTTCGAGAGTCCTGGTGCGAGTGCCCATGCGTCAAGGAGTCATACATTCACTTAATCGGAGATTTCGATGCCACAGGACATTGCATCGTGGATGATTCTAGGAACATGGTCATACTCCATCCAGACCACCTGGTCTCTGCAACTGTCGTAGCAGACTCAATTAGTTGCCAGCGCCGCGCCGTCTTGCAGGATCGTATCAAATACACGTCCGATCTAGGAAAAGCGCAAGTCTTTGGGAACATTTTTCATGAGGTGTTTCAAGAAGCAATCAAGCTCAACAAATGGGATACGAACTCGCTAAGGACTCTGATTGAAGGTGTTACTGTCAAGCGCATCGAGGATCTATACTTGATCCGCATGAATATTCCGGAGGCTGTTGAATATATCATGAGTCGGATACCGGGCGTGCAAGCCTGGGCAGAGCGGTTCCTCAGGGTAAAGCCAAGTGTAAGTTACCCGGCCTCAATTCGTGGTAGTGGTACTAACTGAATTAAAGGCAGAATCATTGGTTGAGGATCGTGGCAGCTCTAAGATGAGTTTGAGTATCAATAAGCTTCTTGAAGTCGAGGAGCATATTTGGTCTCCAATGTACGGACTCAAAGGAAACGTTGATGCCACTGTGCAAGTCGCTTGTCATGACGGCGAAAGCGATAAAAACCTGGTCATACCACTTGAGCTCAAAACAGGCAATAGGGATACAAATCAGGCCCACAGGGCACAGACGGCCCTGTATACTTTGCTGCTTTCTGATCGCTACGGTAAGAAAATCCCACCAGTGTTCAGTTCCCTTATTGATAGAAACTGATGCGTTCCTGTAGATGTGGAGTGTACGTTTGGATTGTTATATTACCTCGAAACAACGAAAATATTCCGCATTCGTGGTATCCGGCATGAGCTCCTACAGATGATTCAGCAGCGAAATCGCATAGTCGGATATATGCGCCAGAGAACGCACCTGCCGCCGATGGCCAAGAAGTCCTCATTTTGCAACAAGTGCTACTCGAAGACACCTTGTTTTATCTACCATAAGCTTGCAGATGATGGTGACGGTGAAACTAGCGGTCTTGGTGACGACTTTGTCAACGCTATGGACCACCTGACTTCTGATGATCGCGACTTCTTTCGAAAATGGGATGATTTGTTGACCAAAGAGGAAAAGAACATGATCCGATTCAAACGCGAGCTTTGGACCATGCTTAGTAGCGAGCGCGAGGCTTTGGGCCGATGCTTTGGCAATGTCGTCATCGACCCTAGTTCCTCCTACGAGGATAAAGATGGACCCAAAATTAACCGCTATCGCTATACCTTCGTCAAAAAGCAACCTCATTCCTCATTTTCGTTTACCGAGTCCCAACTCACACTTGGAGAACCTATCGTGGTTTCTGATGAGAAGGGTCACTTTGCTCTTGCAAATGGATACGTTGTGCAAGTCAGCCGAAGACACATCACCGTCGCGGTAGACAGGCGGCTACATAACGCCAGAACGAGAGCTAGAGGTTTTGATGCCGAGCGTAACCAGTCATTCAAGGGTATAATGGAAATACTCGAGGACGGTGCCTCTCCGTCACCGGCTGAGTCGGATGAAGAGCCGGTCTACCGTTTAGACAAGGACGAATTCAGCAACGGCATGGCAATTGTCCGAACGAACCTGGTTTCCATGATGGAACGGGATCTATTTCAGGCTAGACAGCTGAGGAGGCTGATTGTTCAACGGGAGGCACCCGCTTTCAAGACCACAGCATCTGCATATACCTTGTCTGAATCCGACAAGGCAGCCTTGAACGTCGATCAGAGACAAGCCATTGACAAGGTCATGAGAGCTGAAGATTATGCCTTGGTCCTTGGAATGCCTGGTACTGGCAAGACAACCACCATTGCTCATATCATTCGTGCCTTGGTGGCACAGGGAAAGAGCGTCCTGTTGACTTCATACACCCACACCGCGGTTGATAACATCCTACTGAAAATCAAGGATGACAACTTCCGTATCTTGCGAATTGGGGCTCCTGCAAAAGTACATCCTGATGTTCAGCAGTTTGCAGACTTGGCAGCGGTGCCTAAAACCACAATGGAAGAGCTGAAAGCCTCCTATGAAGATTCGCAAGTGGTGGCGACTACCTGCCTCGGGGTCAGTCATGGTATCTTTTCCCAACGCATGTTCGACTATTGTATTGTTGATGAGGCTTCCCAAATCACGCTTCCCGTATGTCTAGGGCCTATTCGAATGGCTAGGACATTTATCCTTGTTGGTGACCACTATCAACTGCCTCCGCTGGTGCAGAACAAGGAGGCCCAAGAAGGTGGCTTGGATGTCAGTCTTTTCAAATTGCTGTCTGACTCACACCCCGAATCTGTTGTCAATCTGGAACACCAGTATCGAATGTGTGAGGACATTATGCTTCTATCTAATACTCTCATCTATTCTGGTCGTCTCAAATGTGGGACTGCAGATGTTGCAGTGCGTTCGCTCAATATCCCCAATATTGGCGGTCTCAAGCAACATCATCCCAGCACCTTCCCCCAACCTCATAGTCAGCGACAGGTTTGCTTGGGTACAAGCCAGGGTCGTTGCTGGCTCAAAGACCTGGTCGAACCGTCTGCCAAAACTCGACTTGTTAACACGGATACGCTTTCCATACCTGCATTGGATGTAGCAAACGGTTCACGGATTGTGAACCCTACTGAAGCAACCATTTGCAGCCGACTCGTTGAAGCATTCATCTCCAGCGGCATTCCGGCACGCAGCATAGGTGTCATAGCGCTCTACCGAAGCCAACTATCGCTCCTGAAACAAAACCTTAGCCGTTACCTACCGGAACTTGAGATGCACACAGCAGACAAGTTCCAGGGCCGAGACAAAGAGGTTATCATCCTAAGCTGCGTGCGGAGCAACGCTGACAAGAACGTCGGTGATTTACTCCGTGATTGGAGACGCGTCAATGTCGCATTCACCAGAGCACGGACTAAGCTTCTCGTTGTCGGAAGCAAAAGTACTCTCCGCGATGGAAATGAGCTCCTAGGAAAATACGTGAAACTAGTCCAAGAGCGAGGATGGATTTATGATTTGCCTAGAGATGCCATGACGGATCACATTTTCGAGTCCGAAATGGTTCCATCGCAATCCTGTCTGGACAAGTCTACACCTAGTCCAAAGAAGAGCAAGAGCCCCGTGTCGGCCAAGAAGACGACTCGCAGTCCTTTTGGTCCTGTGCAGACTCGACTATCGCCGACTGGCTTGAAGAAACCTGCTAAAAGGGGCGCTAAGTTGATGAGCGGTGGTAGAGTACTTGGAAATCGACCTGTTTTGCAGGATATGGTCAATGATCTTATCGGATAACTGTGTTCTAAGTCTTGGTCGCTACTTCTTTCTGTTTAGAGGGATGTGAAATATCGCTTGGCGTGTGTTGGGTATGGGCTTTGGGATGGATGGTTTAATGACAGCGACAAGGGAATATGATATTGGATACCAATGGACATGCAGGACAACTTCAATAGGTCAGAAGAATATTATAATTTGGACTATATAAGCCTGCGTACGTGTTTGGTACCAAGAATGTAGTAAGTGCTTTTTAGATTTGGGGTATAGTATCGAAGAACAGTAACTCCTGAGCCCACTCTACAACGGTGTACTAGTATAAAGCAGTTCAAAGAATCGAAGCACCGACGTACTCCCAACATATAAAGTGCCGACCATCGCCCTTAGACGAACTATCTGCCTGCACTCCAAATACATCTTGCTTTGGCACATGTGTCGGAAGCACCATAACCGTGTACCCATCGCGTGCCTCCACGGCTTCTCTTCCCAGCGCACTCGCAGAAAGCGCGAACCAAGCGTACGGGGCGATAGACTTGGGAGCAGTTTCCTTCCTAAACACGCACAAGATAGCCAAGTTAGCAGGACAACCAATATCAGATAAATTCCATAGCAAGGTATGTGGAACATACAAGATCGCAACCAATAATTCGATAATCCAACGAGACGGGACAAGTCCATGCCACTTCAAGCTCAAAAGACTGGTGGGCTTTGCATTATCCGAATCGGGTACACTGTAACGACATAGATAGGGATCGACATCGTCATAGACGGATACGCGAGGCGATTGGAGGGATACCATTGCAAGCCACTCGGAGAGCTCGTTGCAGTGATCTTCTAGTTCTGCTGCTTCGCGGGACTCGTCTGTGATTTCTAGTCCAGGGAGACGGGGGACAAGGATATTGGAGTGCTCGGTAATTATAGGCTTGTAATTGATGATTTGGGGATGGTTTCCTTTGAGGGAGGGGTCATCTGCTTGTGTTTTAGTGTATAGCCCTGGGAGATAATTCGCAGAAGGGTGCTTAATGAGGTATAGTACCTTCGGAAACGCCACCCGAGCTAGTTGTGAGATCGAAGAATAGCCAGGCTACTGATTGGTTCAAGACGTTCTTGAAAGCCCATACGATTCTCTCGAAGCCCTTCTTGCCGTGAAGCATGGACGGAAGCCGAAGGTTGATTTCCACGACTGTTTGTCAGGGCTTGTTGTCAGCATGTCTCCTCATTCTGGGGGACATGGTATGGAGAGCACGTACTGAACCTCTCTTTTGCATGCTTTCTTCCTCCGCTGCGAACAGGCTTACCTGTAAGCCCTGTTCTTTCGAAGATTTCTTTGCTCAACTCCAATTTCAAGATGCCTAGGGGGCCTGTTAGCTGAGTAGGCTAGGAAAACATAGCCGGGGACTATAGACCATCTTTGAGTGTGAAGACACTGTCTGAGCCTGAGCGTCCCTCTGATATCATGAGGATATTCCCTGTACCATGTATGTTAGCTACTAATTCGGTCTTAGTGCCCCAGCGAGGCGACGAGAGGCCAAAAAAGCAATAATTACCGGTCTTGATATAGGTATTGAAAAATTCACCCTCTAGCAAAGAAGATAGCGACATGAACACTCTAGCATATCGCAAATTCTGCAGTTGGGGTTGCACATATGACAGGATGTCCTTGGGCAGAATGACTTCAACCTGCACAGCGACTAGTTAGCATTTCTCTGATGTTGTGCCAGCGTGCATATGATGAACTGTCACAGCACAAACAGACAGCATAAAATTCCAGGGATTATATCTAGAACACAGGGTGTCTTACTGTGTGAACAAATGGATGGCCAAGGATGGCCGAGAAGGGGGACCGTTTCGTGGGTGGCTGCTTGGGATCGATGAAAGCAGGCAGTTGGCCTATGGTGGTGTAGCATTTTTCGCGCTTAGACGCGTCATCCTCAAAGTCGAGCATCGTCCTGAGAAGGATATAACAAAGCCTGACTATTCGTCGATCAGGCCGTCGGCAGTCAGGCTCAAGTCTTAGATGCCGGTAGATGAAATTTGTGGTTGAGCCCGGAGAGAATTTTCGGCCCTATACAATATCTGCTCGATTCGCACTAGAGGGCTAATAGAAGGCGGGATGCATCAACCAGGAATATCTGATGGAGTCAAGCACGCAGATGCAAAAAGCTCCTGTATAGTTCCGTCGTATACTACTGGTTGATATGCAAGATAATTGCTGCTTGGAATGTTCCGCTAGGTCACCTGACCATATACTGATTGCACGTTCGGGGCAATCCTACCAAGGAATACTGTCATCGCATGAATTGGACAACTTACCGAACTATAAATGAAGAACAGAGCTTTTCATGAGTTTCAGGAAAACCAATAACTTCCAACGACTAGAACTGTATTCCTGATCAGGCGCCTAGCCAACTGGCGAGTGCCAGCATTATGTCATCTCGAATCTGATCTTCTATCGCCGAGCTCCAGCCAATCACCGAACGCGCCTCACGGTCTCTGCGGGCATCGATCGAACATCGCGCGCAGGAGCACTTCCAAATCTCCCCGCAATTCGACAGCGTCATTTCGCAATTGCTCTAAGAGAATCTTTCGTTACTAAAGGCTAGTTTGCCATTCTATTGGCAAGGAATTTCTCCCCACTCCGCCATTCACAGCCCCGCGGGGCATCAGTCCAGGCTGCTGCTGCCGCAATCGCGAACCCGCCAGCAGCAGCAACAATTACACAAGTACTACCTTGACAATGGCGCCTCCTCGACGGAACCTGCTTCCAAAAGACCGGTTTGGTCTTGCGTTTGGTGGCCTAAAAACACAAAACTACCATGATCCTGCTGCTCGTGGGCCTGGTTCTCATACGTAAATGCCCATCCGACAAATTACTCTCATAAAAGAGAAGCAGAACGCATACTGATGGAGGGCGATGAGCAATCTAGAATTCGCACAATAGCATGGAACCCTACCGGCCAACTCATTGCCACCGGCTCCGCAGACCGTACCCTTCGAATCTGGAACCCTGAGCGCTCGCAAGTGAAATACTCCACCGAACTGCGCGGCCATACTGCTGGAATTGAGAAAGTCGTGTTCAACCCAGTTCGAGACTCCGAGCTGGCTAGCTGCTCCACCGATGGAACCGTTCGCGTTTGGGATGTCCGGTCAAAGACCTGCGTCAGTCGTCTAGACGTCGGAGGCGAGGCATTCACCCTGTCCTGGTCTGCTGATGGAAGGGTAATGATTGTTGGCAGGAAGGTGAGCGAACACCCTCGAGCACAAAGCCGGTGCGCTCAGCACCAGGAACTTCACAACTCACAAAATGCTCAATATCTGCAGGACGACACCCTCATACCCATCTCCGTCGAATCCCCATCCACCCCAATCATCCACCCAGACGGACCACCCAACGCCGCAGCAACGCAACAGCAACAGCAACAGAAGCCCACCTTTACACCATCAATCTACACAGCCCTAGAAGCACACCCCCAACCCATTCAAACAAACGCAACAACTTTCTCACACCACATCTCCACCCCTTCCTCCCCCGACCTCCACCTCTTCGCCACAACCGGCGAAGGCACCGTCAAAATCATTTCTTACCCGTCCTTCGACGTCCTCCACACCCTCCACGCCCATACGTCCGCCTGCCTTTCCATCTCCCTAGCACCCACAGGTCGCTACCTTGCCGTCGGGGGCAGCGACGCCCTCATCTCGCTATGGGATACAACAGACTGGATCTGCAAGCGCACTGTTTCGAGCAACAATGGTGGAGCCGTGCGCGGCGTGAGCTGGAGCTTCGACGGTAGATTCATCTGCGGTGCTTGTGACGAAGTAGGCTGTGGCGGTAATGGCTTGGAGATCTTCCATGCGGAAACGGGCGAGAGTGTTCATACCGTTCCTACGGGGGGCAATGCCAATTCGGGGATTCCGGCTGTCGCGTGGCATCCGTCGAGGTATTGGCTTGCGTATTCTACTACTGCGGATGGGTCGGGGCCGGGTGGATTGAGAATTGTAGGGGCTGCGGGTGGGAATTTGTAGGGATGGTTGGTATTTTGGTTTGATGAGTTGATATCTATTTTCGCATTTTTGTGTATGTGTGTGTTGTGGCGTTTGGTGCGTCGGATGTTTTATTTGAGCTTACGATGCTTACGGTAGATATTAAGCATGGCATTGCATGTCTTGTATAGAGTCCTTTTGCTGTGCTGGTTTGATATATTGTCTCGGCTCACCAATACTGTCCTGGAGATGTAAACGTGCTACACTCGACAAGTTTGTCGAAGAGGTAAAATCTTATAGTATATTCAACACCAATCATTAGTCGTTTCAATATATCGTAGGCCACATCACCAAACACTGTCATGCTCAAGCTAAAGCTTAAGGCATAAAGGTCAACCCTTGCCACGGCTCCCAGCCTCCCGAGGCGAGTAATGCCCACTGAGGGTCGCTGAGAGCTTCGGGGCCATTAGACGGATTATTGACTAGGTCTCCATCGCTGAGGTCAGGTATAGGATTCTCTGAGGTATTCCATGTAGGATCGGTAGTGAGGGGGTTTTCGGATCTCGTGGAATCGAGCTGAGTTGACTGATTGGGAAAGACAGTGTTGGTCCCGTATTGGAACGGAGCGAAGACACTGGGGGAGAATAGTTCTGGCTGTATAGGGACTTGTGTGGATGAGGGGTATGTCGCTGGTCCCAAGTAGGCGAGGTTGTTCTGAGTGGAAGCTAGGTGTGAGGGTATGGAGTTGGTTGACTGGTGGGTGTTGGCGTTGCCGTTGGATGTAGAAGACATGTTCGTATCCAAATTTGGAATATTATTGCCATTTCTGGTCGGTGCTGCATGATTGGATGTTACAGAGCCACTGTGAATTGTTTTGCTTGGTCGGCCTGGTGGAGTTTCAGTGGTAGTCTGTTGACTTGCATATTCAGTGGGCGTGGATCCAGAAGTCCTTTGAGCGTGATCCGGGGTTGTATTGTCGTCCTGGCCTCTTGATTGGTTTGCAGTTTGTGTATTGTTCGCGCAAGTCTAGGGTGGTCGCTGATCAGCAGATCGTCTTCACGGCTATAGCAAGCATGCTTACCGGTATATGGGACGCGATACACATCCTTTTCGAAGAGCGAACATCTCCAAAGGCAGTTCCACCAATATCAAGTTCGAGTTGCATGACGAATGGTTCTGCTAGCGGATTCTTTTCTTTGAAGGCATCGAGGGCAGAAAAGGCAAATTGTAGAGATGAACGTGCAGCGGAGTCACTGGGGCGAAATTTCAGGTATTGGATGAAGACCCGCGCGGCCACGTAGATACAAAACGCCATGAATGGGTCCATCTGCTTCCTGTTAGCATGTTCAAAGAGCTAGAAGTCATGATATAACTGACGACACTCAGATCTAGATGAATGATCATCTTCATTATGTTGGAGATTTGATCGGCAGCTAGTATACACCGTCGCTTACTCTCGGTGGCGATCTGCTCTGGCATTTTGTTCTTTTCCGCTACGAATATTGCCCCTTGATGCAGACAAATCGTTGCTGTGTGAATAGCCATGTTGCAGAATATAATGTTCGGGTCGGTCGTCAAGACTGTCAGCCGCAGATGACTCGGCATGGAGAGCGCAAAGTGGAGTAGGAGATTATCAAAGGCACGGTGCCGCTGCCAGTACAGTCCAGTGAGATCATGTTCATTATCTTGGGGATCAGGACGATGCAGATGTGCGACATTCTTCCCAAACATGCAAGCTAATATCACGACTCCTGCAAAAGTAGACATTGTGGAAATATTCCCGGTTATCAGTATGTCTGCGAGACGATCAGTCTGTTGCGGGTTGTTATCGATGAATGATTCCTCAGACGCTGGAAGATTCGTGAAGATCTATCGAGCTCAGTCAGATAAGACTATTCCCGGACATTGAAGCATGTGCTGGAGCAACTGACATCTCTTTCATCAAACGAGACAGGCCATCCAGTACCGACACTTGCGTATCTATCGAGACAGAAAGCCATCCAAAATACTCTCCTTCGCTCTTCTTTTTCAGACCAGTCCTTGGAAGGTGGCAAGGTCTGTTTGACGTTGAGACCATCTTCATCTATACCACATAGACCTAGCATCGTTGCCAGTCTTGCACCTTTTCCAACACTCAGCCACGCTCGAGGAAGAAACATCATTTTGAACTCATATGTGCCGATGAGTACCCAGGTCTGACAATGTGAGATAGACACCACACGCTCACCAAGACCTTCTAACTCGTCCAATTCGGCGTACTTACGAGCCCGCTCGTAGAAAATACTGTGAAGACTGGAGTACTTGTCCGTGACAGACGCCGCATGGCACCAAATCATGTACTGTAAGCATATAGGAGGCCGTGAGGCAGGAGCAAGGCTTGCAGCTGCCAAATACCTTGGGCGGTGAATCATGGGAAGTCGAGGATGTATCTTCTTGAAATATATCGCAGTCCTGTATAGCATTAGAAGGCGGATACAGATCTCGATTGTATGGGGGAAACTTGCAGCTCATCAATAACCTCCTGCGTGGGAAGGGGTTCTTCCAGCCCCAGGCTTATCAAGCTACCTTGGGGATTATCGCTGCTTGCTGCTCCTGCATGATACGATGTGGGAGTCGAAGAGATAGGATCGGCCTCTCCCTCCGGAGACTGCATATGAACACCATCCTGGGGAGAGATACCGGGCGCGCCAGCCGAATGGGTTATCACTGAAGCAATAGGACTATTGCCCTGGCTTTGCTGTACTTGTGCTCCTTGATTTCTAAGTAGAGTTTCGACCTGGGCTGCATAATAAGCGTGGTGTTAGCGGAGCAGACGATGAGATCGGCGCTCACATGCCTCCGATCAGAAATCGAGCGTCAAATAATGACAGACAATGAACATACCCAGACGTGCTTCTAGCTGCTTCACATAACCCCGCTTTGGGCCGCTTTTCTTGCGCACTTCATCGAATATGCATTCATGACCTAACCGAGAGCATGTCCCGCAACTGGGTCTCTTTCCATCGCATCTTAATTTCCTCCTTCGGCAAAGAACGCATGCGATACGCTTAGGGCGGGGAATATAATGGCTGTTTGGATTGTGATTCTCTGCGGCAATCGGCGCTGCCTCTTCATGCGCTGCACTCAGCTGTGGCTGGGATGGAGAAGCTTGAGTCTGCCCTGGTAGACGATTGGCATTATCAGCCATGGCCGGGCGCGCGATGCGGATGGGGAGCTGATGTGTGTCGAGAATGGCCTGCAATGTGGGCACAGCTTTTCCGAGCTAGAGGTGCTGTACCTCGATCATCGATACTTGGAGGCATCGAACGGGCGAAAAAGACCGGTATGCATAAAGAGAAGGCCAAAAAACATAAAAGCCGTTAGGCTATAGGGAAAAATGATAGGTGCACGGTCGAGCTTATGTCGGTCAGGCCGAGGACGTTACAGGACTCGTAACGGAACCAAGGATCCTAATTTGTTAGTCAGCCATCATGCTAACAAAGCGTAATTCGCGACAAATAAAGAGTAAAGCTTACAGCGGTTTTCCCGCGGACGTAAAGGCGATGTTGAACGTAGTGAGTTACTTAAGCGCGATGCGATGATCTTACTCCACTGACTTCGGCTCGATTCTATCGGTCTCAGCCAGTTCTAGACCCGCGGCTTGTTCGCCCCGATGCCGCCCTATCCCATGCCAGGACTGGTCGCTGTCTACTCCACCAGATACAATACTCTCATAAGTAGAGGAGCTGATTATAATCTATATGTGCACTGTGTAATAGGATTGATTGTACTCTAACCCATGTAGTATACAAGAGAAACGCCGGAGCATAAACAACACATGAAGGAAATCCGGATAGAAAGCAAAGGAGCTGGAGTATAGACAGCTGGAATCCCCCATCGTAGCCAAGACAAAATAAAGTATAGTACAACAAGGTGAACAGGAAAAGACTTCCCACCATCTAAACCCACAAGAAGGACCTTCGACAGATGGGGAGATTCCGAAGATCCATGCTCTGCTTTACCCAGCTTTTACCCCGAGCGATGATAGAATCACATTTGATATAACCGTGAGATTGCTGTAAGGAGGTCCAACGAATAAATAAGAATTTCATGTCCACGACGGCGTTTAGTGGTATCCACGACGACGCTTGCCCTGGTTGCGCTCTCTGGGATGAACCACAGCCTTGTTGATCTTCCACTTGGGACGGGTCTTGTAACCGGATTTCGCCTGTAAGAAAAGAAGACATTAGCACGGACGAGGCTTGGAAGCAAAGGGAGGAATAGTGAAGGGAGAATACATACCGGCATACCCCAAGGACTCTTCGGGTCAACATTACCCTTCGATTTGCCTCGACCACCACCGTGGGGATGTTCGGCGGCGTTCATGGCGAGACCACGAACAGTAGGCCGAATGTTGAGCCAACGGGAGCGACCAGCCTTACCAAGCTGGCGGTACTGGTGGTTGGGGTTGCTAGCGACGCCAACAGTCGCGCAGCAGTCCTTGTGAATGAGACGAACTTCACCACTCTGAAGACGGATGGTGACGTGTTGAGAAATGCGCTCCTTTCTTTGCCTCTCGCGTTGCGTGAGAGGCTTTTGCTCAACGGCCCCGGCCTCGCCTTCTTGGCCGTCCGAATGATCACGCTTCGCCTTAATATCGATACCCTTGGCGATAACTGTCGCAAAAGTACCGGCACTACGGCAGAGCTGGCCTCCCTGACCAGGGCGTAGGCCAACGTTGAAGACCAGAGTACCAACAGGCATCATGTGCAGCGGCAGGCAGTTTCCTCTCCACGCGGTTCTGGCAGCGAGGACACCAGGGTCTACAGTACCTCCCATGCTCTTCCAGAGTTCCTCCGGGATACCAGACATGTAACTGTGGACAACGTCACCAGCCCGCATGCCCTCCGCAGCCAGGATGTAACTGAGTTTCTTGGTCTCCTGGCTACGGACGAGAGCAATGTGAGCACTCCGACCAGGGTCATGTTCGATACGTTCCACCACGTGCGGACCGGGAGCGTCACGCGCAAAATCAACCATTCGTATACGACGCTTGTGGCCACCACCGCGATGGCGGACAGTCACTCTACCGGAGTTGTTACGACCACCCTTGGCTTGACCTCGTTTGGGGAAGGTCAACTTCTGCACCGGGCGTCCTTTCCACAGGTGGTCATTGATCGGTCTGCGCAAATGTCTGATACCGGGAGTTCGTGGAGTGTAGGAGCGTAGAAGAATACCGGCGTCATCACGAGTGGGTGGAGGGGCGAAGGCGATACTGGGGTCGAAGGTCGAACTTGCAGGCTCGTCAGCGGACGGATTCTCTTGCTCGCGAACGACAGTCGAATAGGCCCGCGACGAAACGGCCGTAGACAAGGTTCGAAACGGAAGACGAAGGCCCGTAAGGGCCAAGCGAGTCTGAAGCATATTGGAGTGTAATGTATGTGGTGAGGTAAAAAGTCGGAAGGATTTCAATATCAATCGGTCGTGATCGGAGATGTCAAAGCAATACCGCAATGTGGTACCCTATGTGGTGTGAGGAAATCCAAGCAAGCTACTGCTTTGACATGCTTAGAATTAGAGACAACAAAACAGGCAATGCAAAATTCCAGCGTCCCTGACACCACTATCAGCAACACCGTGCTCAATTGGAGTGTTGTTGGGGGCACCGGTGACAATAGCCGCACTTCTACTCGATCTCCGGAGCAAAAATGTCTGGCATGGATTGGGAGGTGTGGCTTGACGCTCTGGCACATGACTTGAAGCGCACCGCCGCTTCCGGGACTGACTAAGTGTGGCTCAGGCTTTGAGTCACGGGACGGCGCGACACGGCAACACGTCCGAAGGGAACGAAAAAGTGTAAAAGCTCCGGGTCGGTTGCCGCGCAACCAGCAATTGTTTTGGCGATCGTGGCCGCGCTCCATCACGTTTTTGCTCGCGACGGGCGTTTGGAGAGTCGAGGGTGTTTTCCTGCCTGGGTCAGCTCAGGCATCGACCATGGATGAGGATCCGCCTTGTTTCCCTTAAGGAGTCCTCCCGTAAACCGTGACTGTATGATTACCACCCTGCCTGCCACCTTTTACACCACCAATTCCGCCCTTTTTACAGCGACTTCTGCTAGGGAAGTCACGTCCGTCATACATACGCATACACATACATACATGCGATCGATCCATACAGAACCATAGACTTGCTTCTCTTAATTGCCTTCTTTCCCCCCCTTCGTTGCCGTCTCTTCCCGTCTGTCACTCTTCCTTTCCCTCCACTTCTCTCCTCCCAACTACCACTATTTCTCAATTGGCCTTCACCGTACATACCATAATACCTGGGGACCGTGACTATTGTCTCCAGGCTTGCATATATACGACGTTGTACAGCAGTTAATAATCCGCAATCCACGCGATCCCACTGGATTGTGCTGTGGGGCATCTTTCCCAGCCTGGCCAGTTTCCACGCTAAGACTAGGGCCAAACATCCTCTTTGCCCTGTCAAGTTTACCACCTTTTCCTACTCCTCTCCATCATCATCTACTCCAGGGAGGCGACCACCACCCCTAATAGGACCCCGTTTCTTCGCCAAATTCTCGTGTCATTACTTATAAACTACTACCCTACCTTGCTATATCACCATAAAATCATACTCTGGGGCCGTCAACGCCGTGGAAAGTTACGTGTCTCGGGTCTTGCGAGCTCCTGTCAATAGCATCAACAAAGCCATATATGCCACGAATTTGAGCCCACTCCTGCCAAATTCCTTCCAAGTACCCGACCGTTCGACTTGAGAAACCTTGCATTCAGACTAATTGATTGGGGTTGGACACATATTCACGCGTGGTACGTGCAAATCTACCTTCCGGCAACCGGTATTTGAGCTCCACTGGGGTAATCTCTCCTGGAATGCTGACTTGACTTTCCAACCGCCTGCAGAACCATACTCTTGCACTCTACTCTTATTCCCTTCCTTGCCCCTCCTTATATTCATTTTACCTTCTCCCCTATCCATCATGCCACCTGTAAGTGTCCTTGACCTCTCAATACGCGTTGTGCAATCCTCGGTCGCGAGCTCGATGGGCTTGAAGGTCCATCTTGCACGCGTATAATTCTAACTGTTCAACAGGCTCGGAGTCTTCGTACGAGAGGCACGATGAACGAGAACGATGAGAATGGCCCATCGACGCGTCTGACGCGGGCCAAGGCCGCTGCCCTGTCAGTCAATGACGCTGGGGCTCCCCCCGCCAAGAAGCCGCTCCAGACGAAGAAGGCCGCGACCACCACCACTACCACCGGAACCCGGAGACGCGCCGCCCTTGGTGATGTGAGCAATGTTACCAAAGCAGAGAATGGAGAGACCAAGGATGCCAAGAAGCCAGCTGCCACGAAGGTTGGCCTGACATCTAAAGCAACATTGCAGGCTGGTGGAGTTCAGAAACTTACTC